GTAACTCAAGGTAGAGATGGTCGGTGAAAACATCTGGATAAGTGCGCTCATTAATGGCTTCAGAGAAGAAGGGGCTCTGCCTTGTGGAGACAAGAAAAAATTACCCACTGCTGGCTTTAATTTAAGATAAAAAAAAATCTTATTCTATTAGGCTAAATATCACTCTTACGCCCAATTGCATGGAGTTTGGAATAATGTTTTTCAGACAGAACTACTGCTATTTCAAGTAATTACAAGGCTAAAAGCAGTCATTTGAGGCTGAGTGAGGGTCTCATCATGGTTTCAATTCCCTCCGGTGTCATTTTCTGTAATATTTGAGAAATTCCTCAATAAAGATGTCAAACAGAGAGTAGGTTTGGCTCCCAGGAGGACTAGCTGGCCTCCTTCCAGGACGCAGGCATAGGCGAGCTATCTCCACAAGAAAATAACCTTATTCACGTGAAAGAAAAGGCTCAACTGTGAATGCACAGCAGGAAGATGGCTCTTATTCCATCAGCCTCGATTCTCCTAAGTAGCTCAGGGTTCCTCAAGCTGTGCAACTCACTCCCCCGTGACCAGGGTTTTCTCCAGCCCTCGTGACCAAAGAATTCCACAGTGCCTCAGAGGGGAAAGTTACAAACAGACAAGACTCTTTTGACCTAGACTTCTGGGGATTAAACAACCAGGGCTTTGAACCGGTTCAGACCGATTCAGTCATGGCTGATGAAGCGACCCTGGAACAGACCTGACTTTTTTTAAGTGTAGGTAGGTGGACTGGAACAGTAACCAGAACGGGAAAAACTACCTATCAGTGTCCTGCTAGAAACTTAATCTCCCTGTTGGAAAACAAAGGCAGTGTGTGTTACATACCAACCAAATCTCTTGAACAGTTGAGTCAAAAACAACAGTGCCCGGCTCAAAGATGGCAGCCGACTGCACCACTGTGCATGCGTATTGTGCAGCACATTACTGGCAATGACCCAATTCTGATCAAGCTCCTGAAAGTGCTCACTACACCTCTTTGGAGTCTCTCCTTCCAAGGCTTCAACTCATAATCTTTCCCATTCTGGCTATCTTTCTGCTTCTCCTAATTTTAAAAATTTGGATCTGTTCTGGTTTTGCTAGGACTGAACCAGTTTGAAGACCCATAAACAATGGAGAGATGCAAACAGCTTCACTGTCCCCAGTGGGTGAGGGCCCATGGGGTGAGGCACGGTGGCTGACCAGGTGGTGAGAACGAGAACCTTCTGGAAACCATTCACCTTCTCAGGAGCAGGCCGTAGGCTCTAATTTCATCAAGCAGCATGGCCACACTGCCTCCTGAGGCCCAGCAGGTCACTGGCTGGCTGTGAGCAACAGGGAGTAGTGGGGATTGTGGCAAACAGAACAGCATGCCCCCCAAAGGGGGCAGCCACAGGAAACCTCCTGCTAGCTGCTGTCGGTACCACACTTAGTCTAGGGCAAGAGGTGCTCCTGCACTGGACCTCATGTTTAGGAGACCCTGCTGTGCCCCTTCTATGGCTGTAGCCTATCCAGAGGAAGTAAGGAATCCACAGGACCAGAGGCAATGTGCAGCTAGAACACACCTACCCTTTCAGACTCTGAAATTCCCTTCCCAATGCTCCCGAGCCTATTTGTTTTTGGAAGGACAGATGGCACTTAGGTCTCAGCAGTAGCAAAGAGCTGACTGCTGTGGGGCCTGTGGCCTGAGCCTGTACCTGGGTTAGGGTGTCCATGGGGGTGTGAGACACAGTGCAGGATGGCGATGGGGGAGGAAACACTGGCAAAAATTCCAAGGAGACGAGAATTCTAAATTCCAACCTGATCTTCCAGGCCATGAGCCAGTTGCCATCGAGTCAATTCTGATTCACGGAGACTCCATGCGCGTCAGAGAGAACTGGGCTCCATAGGGGCTTCAGTGGCTGTTCTGGGGAGCTGACCACCAGGCTTTTTTGCCAAGATGTCTCTGGGTGGGCTCGAACCTCCAGCCTTCTGAGTAGCAGCTAAGTATGTGTATCATCTGCATCACTCAGGCACTACTCCCAATCACTGGGAAGGAATATTCATCAAGGTCGGAAAATGGAGTCTATTCCAGTTTAGGGAACTGATGCTAAATATCAGACCTGTGGGAAGTGGGCGGGCCTCCAATTACACTCTTGCCCCAAGTGCCCCGAACGACAGGGGCTGGGTGACAGTGGCCAAGTGGGAAGGAGGCTGGAAATGTTCATCCCATTTTTATGTGTCAGCATTTCAGTGCTGATAAATAGTCCAACCACCACCATCGTCATCAACAACACGAAGCCTGTGAGGATGAAGACATCGTGTCTGCAGGCTGGCGGGGACGGGGCTGGCAGTGGGGATCTTCTGCTCCCGTATGATGACAGCACGTGGCACCTGTGCAGAACTTCACAGGTACATACAGCTCTCTGCACCTATTTCACATTTAATCATCATGTCAACCCTCTGAGACGAATTCCCACCCCACTTCCTAGTCCGGGGAACTGAAGTGTGGAAGGTGTGAGGAACTGCTCCAAATGAGATGACTTCTGAGTGGCAGGCCAGCCGACTGTTATGCAATTGGTTTCAGCCAATGTTTATCAGTCCCTGTGGTCTGACAACTGTACCCAAAACAAAAAAACAAACTTACAGAGACCCACGCTGTGTTTCCAAGGCTGTGAATCTTTACAGAAGCAGACAGCTTCATCTTCCTTCCACAGAGCAGCTAGTGGGTTTGAACCACTGACCTTTTGGTTAGCGGCCAAATCCCGTAACCACTGCACCACCAGAGCTCCATTGACACTGTACCCAGCCCCTTAATTCTTAGAGCCCTTTCCAGATGAGACCTGCAGGGTTCACCCAGCTGGCCTGAGGCCACATGGTCAACCAGGCTCGGAGCCAGTTAGAACCAGCTCTCAGCTCCCCGGTGCTGCAACTCGTCTCTCGTGTTGGAGACGTCTGTTTGTTGGGGAGGGTGGCCCACAACTGAAAGTGGCAGTATGGCAGCGCGAGCCTTTTCCTGACTGCCATCTGTGGGACTTAGAGGCACGTGAAGTTACAATCTGTCTCGGAGGAGGTGGGGGGAGGCTTGCTCATTTTTTTTTTTTTTTTAAAAGGAATCAGTGTGAAAAGAATTACTGTGGAAACAATATGGTGAAAACAAAGGACAGATTTCACTGTTCCCCTGGGACCCGGCGGGGTCAGGCACTGAAGGCACTGGGCCTACCTGCTGCAGCCAAGAACTTACAAACAGTGGGGACTGTCAGCTCACCCCTTTATTCTCTTCCTCAACAGCCTGATCAATTACTGAAACATACCCACTGTCATCGGAAATAGGGACAACGGGTAAAGCTAAGTGCTTAGGATTCAGTGAGTGGACACTTGTATAATACGGAGCTTGGCGTCTGGGACGATCAGTGTCATAGATGATGCAACCCGAGCTCTGCTGCCTCCATGCCACTCCCCACCCCTCCGCACATCTGACCTCAGCTTCAAGGAGCTCCGCACGGGCAGTGGCCTCCCCCAGCAAACTTTTCCCAGACTTCTGAGAGCCTGAGCAATGCCACCTCCTCTTTGAAGCCCCCCAGGGAGTCGGCCACTTCACCCCTCTCCCTCAGCCCAGGCAGAGGGCCTCACAGGTCGCCTGGGGCTGCAGCAGGCTGCTGTCCAAACCTCAGCATCAGCACTTATTTTGGGTGGAATTTCACACTCACGGATCGGTTTCTGTAACAAGCTCCTCTGAGACCCAGTGTGCGTTAAATCAAATCAGGCGGGGAAATCTGAAGGCAACACAGTTGCCCTGAGGGAAAGTTCCAGAGAACCCAGGGCCGCAACCTCCTTACATGCACACCAGAAAACCAGCAGGCCCACTGGAAGGCTTGCCAAGCCCTTCTAGAAAGCAGTATATTGAAAGCCATACAAAATCAAACAAGCCTTTGACCCAATAGTTCCACAGTGGGAAGTATTCCTCAGGACACAAAAGGGAAAACAGAGGAAAATAATACAAGTTTTCTGGATTCTACTGGCAAGAAAAAAAGCTATAGTCAATGTTTTACCACCAAGGGGTAGCCAACTCTCCTAGAGCATTAGTGATGTCTCTTTTTTGATGACTCAGCACCCACTAAGGGCAACCACTTCACCCACAGGGGGTCATTTCATCCTCACATACAACTTTGTCACATAGCACCTTCAGCCCACTTCACAGTGGGGAAGAATGAGGCTCAGAGACCGTGATGACAGTAAGAACTACCGGGCAGGGAGTGCCGGGCTCACTTCTCAGTGTTGTGTGGCCATCACCTTAGTTATTGCTCACAAGAGCTCTGTGAGCCACCTACTCCGATAGCCTCCTTTAACCAGCAAGGCCCACAGAAGTTATGTCACATATCCCAGCCACGTTCCTGACAAACCCACACTTGTTCAGGTCACTCAACCAGTGGCCCAATAGGGCTTGGGACCCATGTCTTTTCTACCATGAGATATTGTTCCTCTTTGATGAGCTTTGAACCACCTCTGGCCTAGCCACTTCTGGACTGTTGCCTGTCAGTATCACTTCTACAATACTGAACCTGGTGTCTGGCAATGGTGGCCACAGGAGCTACCTAAAATGCCTGGGACACACATGATGTTAACGGGAAAAGCAAGACACACAAGCAAGACCCAGGCTGACCATCTGATCAGCATAAGAGTGAAAACACTGGCTACGGAGAGAAGACTGAAAAGACACACACCAACATCACTAAAAATGGCTTACAAGTTTTTTCTTCCTACACATCTATGTTTTTCCAATTTTATGTGGCACGCTTGCACTACTCGCTTTTCTAAGGCTGGTTTAAAATACATACTTGACTCACGTGTCTGGAGTTATACAAGAGTCCTCAAGGAGCCAGAGCAAGGCAAGCCTTCCCCAGTCCCCAGCTGTGCGAGCCGGAGCTGGGAAACAGGCTGGAGTGGGCCCCACAGGCAGGTGGCCTGCTGGGTAGAGTGGGCCCGGCAGGCAGGTGGGCGGGCACGGCCACCTCACTCACCCAGGCAGTTGTGTCCATCATGTGCCAACATGAAGCCATCAAAGCAGGTGCATCTGTAGTTCCCTGGGATGTTGATGCACTCATGCACACAGCCCCCGTTGTAGAAGTCATTCTCACACTCGTCGATGTCTGCAAAACGAGGGACATGAGAGGTGTCAGAGGGAGAGCCCAGGGTCCCCCCATCTTGCTGCTGAAGTCACGGTGACATGAGTGGCTAGGGGATGACTTAACTATGTATTGAGGTCCTTGCTGGTGGCTGGGGGAGGTAAGGATTACAAAGATGAAGTTCCTGGCTCTGCACCAAGGCTGGCCACCGCCTTACAAGCAGAGCAATATGCCGGGCACGGTGTGGGCACCTTCTCCACACAACTTCAACCAGCCGCAATCACATGGAAGAAGGCACCATTCAAGTCCAAATCTGCCTCCCTGGAAAGTCTCTTAACACTGACAGCGTGGAGGGATCCTGTCTACCATCCCTGAGAACTGGCTAGCCAGGCTCCTTGGAAGGCTCCTAGATACAGCGAGCTCCTTAGTTGTGTGGCAGGGGATATTGGGTAAAATTAACTTTGCACACAGGCGGAAAAGGCAGCCAATAAAAAACCTCTGGAAAGAGAGAAAACCCCATCTACTCCCCCAGTTTCCTTCCACATCAGCATCTGAAGCCTGGATTCCTACTGCCCCAGCTTTCTTGATGTAACAAAGGTTTCTGTCTCACAGACAATGGCCAGTGGCCTTTGTAAAGGTCATCTTTTTTTGCTGTTTTAAGGATTTTTCAATTTTCACTTCAGGGGCCAGAGGGGTATCAGTTCTGGAGCTCCAGAGAGATTGTTGAGATCTTGGGGGGTAATAGGAAGAGCCCCAGTTATCAAGCAATGAAGTGCTTCCATGCCCAAGCCCTGCTCCCAACAGTTGACAGGCCACTATCTCTTCAATTCCACACTGACTCAGTGCAATCATCATCATCATCATCATCATCTCAATTTTACAACAGCACTAAAGAAACTGAGGCACAGGGAGGCTACAAAGTTGCCAAGGGTCATACACCCAGGAAGTGGTACCAGTGGCTTGAGAGCCCAAAGGAGCCTAACTCCGGTCCTGCCGGGGTCCTTCTGGGAGCATGAACCACGGTGGCGCCAGCCATAGCGAGAGCATGTTAGCAACGGGTTGGGGGCCTCTCTCCTTGCGACTTTGCCGGGTCTTCAGACTCCCCTGCGCTAAGTCATCCAGATTCGCCCACCTCAACCAAAACTGGCCTTGACCCACAAAGGTCGCAGGATAAGCAGGGGAAGCAAGGGAAACGGTGGAGCCGGAACCGGAAGTGCCCCAGCCGAGCCAACCGGAAGTGCCTTGCAAGGGGAGAAAGCCTGGGAGGAAATCTACCAGGTCAAAGAGGCAGTTGAGGCTGGGTTTCAGCTATAAAAGCAGGGATGGCAGCAGCCTGAAAAAGGGGGGATCCTGTGGCAAGCCTGATCGTCCCTCAAATACCTGAGGCTCTGGTGCAGGGAGGTACAGAGCTTGTTCTGTCCACACTGATCCAGCGCGGCTGAGCTGGGGGAACTCACGGGGAGCCAATGAACGTTCACTGGAAGGAATACCTGTCTGGAAGGCAGAGGCTTAGAAGGTAGTGAGCTCCCTGACTCCAGAGGTGACCAAGCTCTGGCTGTACACCTGCCTCCCACAGATCGTGCTAAGCAGAGGGCATAACTGCAGTAAAAGCAGCAGCATCCGAGGCGCCCAAGTACAGGGTCTGGGCTGTGCAGCCCACTGCTGGTGCCTAGCAACCAGCTTGCTAAGGGAAGAACAAAGTGTCCCGGATGTCCAAAGGCTCAAGAAACAGGAGGCATCCCTGCAGCTGCCTGCAGTGGCCATCTGCATGGACCATCCTCCAGCACTGGGAAGCCGATTCAATTCTGCAACTCATGTGATTGTTTTTAATATGATATGCAATGCACTTAGGGATTTTAAATGACATTAAAGGAGGATGGAAGATTTTTATGTTTCTCAAAAAGTTATATTGGTTTATAAAGGCTGAGAGATACTGTTCGCTTCCCAATTTCTGTTTCTAGCCCTGACCTCTCATCAGAGCCCCAGAAACACCAATTTAACTGCCTCGCCCCTGGCTCTGTAGACACTACAAAGACAAGGTCCAACTTCAACCCACCAACTCTCCTCCCTCGGGATCACCATCCAGAGAACTCATCTCCCTCTCCCTCACATCTAATCACCCACCAAAAGGTGGCTTCTCTACACCCCTAACACGGCCACAGCCTACCCATTGGCTGCCCATTCCCACTACCTGTCAGCCTCACCATCACCGCTCACCTGATCTGAACGGGCAGACCCCTAACTCTTCCCTCTCTCCCTTCATCTGAACAGGCAACTCAGGGCACATTGGCATGTCTCACCCCTGGGGGTGGAGCCTGATCGGTCTATGCCAAATAGCACATGCTGTGGAATCAGCATTAGCAACTACTACTGGTCAGAGTTTTCATATTACTTGGTTCTACAATCCACACCAATGGAAGGAGTAGTCAAGAAATCAGACGATGTATAGCACTGGGCAAATCTGTTGCAAAAGACCTCTTTCAAGTGCTGAAGAGAAAAGATGTCTCTTTGAGGACTAAGGTGCACCTAACCTAAGCCACGGTGTTTTCAATCACCTCATATGCCTGTGAGAGCTGGACAGTGAGTAAGGAAGACTGAAGAAGAGTTCATGCTTTGGAGTTATGGTGTTGGGGAAGAATACTGAAAGTACCATGGGCTGTCAGAAGAACTGGGAAATCTATCCTGGAAGAATTGCATCTGGAATGCTCTTTGGAAGCAAGAATGGCCAGACTTCGTCTCACCTACTTTGGTCATATTGTCAGAAGGAACCATTTTCTGGAGAAGGATGTCATGGTTTGTAAAGTGGAGGGTCAGTGAAATGGGAAAGCCTTCAAGGAGATGGACTGACACAGTGGCTGCAACGATGGGCTCAGGTATGGCAAGGATTGTGAGGCTGGCACAGGACCAGACGGTGTTTGGTTCTGTTGTGTATAGGGTCGCTATGGGCTGGAGCCAACTAGACGGCACCTGACAACAACAACAACTGGTCCCAGAGTGGGCACGTGACTAAGGTTGGATCAATCTGGACTGAAAGGAAGGACTTATATTCCATTGTTGGGTAAAGGGATTCCCTGGCTCAGAAAGAGGTACCTCTGAAGGAAGTAGGTGAGTATCCACCCCTGAAATGCACATCAGCCCTTTAATTCTCACAGTAACTCTCTGGAGTAGGTGCTTTAAATTACATTTTACGGTTGAGCAAACTGAAGTGTAGAGGGGTTAGGTAACTATTCAAGGTCACATAGTGGTAGGGCAAGGGTCAGAACAAAGGTGTTTTAGTTGAAAAACCCTACGCTCATTTCTAATAAGTTAGAATCCCTGTGACATGCAAGACATTGGCCAAGTGCTCTACACTTGTCATTTCACCATTGGTGCATTTTCACTGTGCACCAAGAAAGTATGTCCAGTCATCCACCCTTCCATTCACTCTCCATCCATCCAGTTACACATATGCACATCCAAACACATGTCCATCTCACTCTTCAAATATTCAGCCAGCCATGCATCCATTCACTCATCCACCCAATCACCTATCCACCCACCAATTAACCACCCATCACCCCATAACCTAGCCATTCAAATACCTACCCAGCCATCCTTACATTTACCCATCTATGCTAAAGTCTATCCATCCAAATATCCAGTCAGCTGATGATCCTTCCATTCACCCCATAACCTACTCACCCCTTTAAAGCCTACCCATTCATCTGTTTATCCAGCCAAACGTATGCACGTATATCAAACATCCATCTGTCCATCCATTTATCTAAATATTCAGGTACCACCCATCATTCCATTCATCCAAACATGCATTCACTCACCCTATTGGGCCTAAACAGTCATCCATCTATGTGTTGACCTATGCAACCACCCATCTACACACACACACACACACCCATCCATACATTGAAATATCTACCCATTTATCAGTTTATCCAGCCCAAAACATCTACCCATCCATTTATCCAAACTTCATTTGCCCACCCATGCCCACCCATCCATTTCTTCAAACTCATTCAAACAGCTTACAAAATACATACCATAAAATTATTAGAAAGTAGAAGTTAGGACAAAGGAAAAATTAAAAAAAAAAAACAACAACAAGGATTTAAGAGTAAGATAAAAACAGTGAAATACATTTGCAGAAGTATACTGGCAAAATGTGGCACAAATACAAAAGAGAGGCCACAATATGGCTGTGAGCTTCCTAGAAGCCAAGGCAAATAACAAAACATAACTGGTGGCTGGTTCATCACATCCATAAAATGCAATTTAACAAGCTCCTTTTCTAGGGACAACGTCAGACCAATGTCTCTTCCCCAGATTAGAACAATAATACACCCCAATTGGCCTGGCATTGTTATTGCTGGGTGTAACTATCAACAGCACCCTTTGCCCTATCAAAATGATAAGCGTTGGTCACTATGCCCATAAGAAGGAATTCTGGTGATGCAGTAGTTAAAGTGAGTAGATAAGGCTGGTGGTTGGAACCTACCAGCAACTCCACAGGAGCAAGATGGGACAGTCTGCTTCCATAAAGAGGACAGCGGGTGTGGTTTTTTGGTCTTGGTTGGTATACCCATAAGGCATGATAAAGAGGTCACTGAGGAGTCCACAAACAATTCTTTTTTTTTTTTTTTTTACATTGCCCTTCTCTTCCCCAAAATCGATACTTATCTCTATCTGTCTAACAGTGTTCCCTCCCCTCCCCTCCCACCCCTGGTAACCAACAAAGAAAATTTCCTTCCATAGATAAACCTTTCCTTGAATTTTACAATAACAGACTAACACAATATTTGTCCTTCACAGACAATTCTTGCCTCCTCACAGGACAGGCCACAGTAGTTCCAATCTATGGCAACACGCACTGCAAGCATCTCTTCCCTTAATTCACCCCAAAGAGCTCCCCCAGGTCTGAGAAGCACCCACTCCCTCTGCTCCCCAGGCCTGAACTGCTGTCACAGGCTACCTAGGACAGCCAGCCTTACCTCCCCGCAGCCCGGATGGAAGATGTCTGGTCACCACCC